TATATATATATATAATATTAACACTAGAAGTATCAACATTTTTTCAAAAGGATCAAGCAAATAAATTATTATGAAAATAAAGAAAGTGATAAAAAATTCATTTTATCAGTATAAAGAACATAATTACTGAAAAATCAAAAAATTTCGGAATCCTATCTTTTATACAAGAAATACAATATTAATCTAAAAGATAGAAACGATCAATAAGTGCTTGATACTTCTAATGTTAAAAACTTCTAGCAAAATTATCTTATTACTAATTTGTGAGGTAAATAGAAAAGACGTAGAAAAGACGGAATAGCTTAAGACACAAGAAAGTTGAACTAATCAATCAGTGTTAATCAATCGTCGGTTGACTGTGTCGAATTTTGTTTTAGAACCTTTAGTATATTGGCACGATTCGCGGAGAAGGCGAGGGATAGCACCTCTTCCGCCTGTCGCAGCGGAGTTTTGTTCTGCAGATTGCGCATATTGGTGCACGCACCATATCTGATCAGCAAGCTGACGGATTTGATGTTGCCAGCCATGGTCGCCAGATGCAACGGTGTATCACCCTTGCGATCCTTGGCGTCTACGTCGCAGGTCGCACAGTTCAACAGTAGCTTCGCCGCATCGACGCGATCGTTGAGACATGCCAGATGCAGCGGAGTACGACCCTCGGACTTGGTTATTACATTTACATTCGCACCGGCGTCTAGCAGCAGCTGTACCATCTTGGTGCGACCGGTTGCACTCGCCACGTGTAACGCCGTCTCGCCTAGACCATTGCAGGTGTTGATCGCCAACGTTCGTTGTCTCTGCTTGCGCTCCAGTTTACCTTCACCAAGTACCGAGCACCGTTCGCAGTCGCAGAGCGGATGATGGCACAGACTTGTGCGAACGCCTGACGGCCGCTCGCAATAAATCTCCAGTCCCAGGTAATAACATGCCAGGCATATATCATCGTCGACTATAGCAGCGAGCAATTTGTCCATCATACGATGTTGCATCGCGTTGGTATAGCTCTTAGGATGCGACGGACTCTTGTTCTCCAACGTGACCCGACGACGCTGCTGCTGAAAAGACACCGACTGACAAGGCTGAACAAAAGAACGTGGGGATAAGGAGGCAACATTGTTGCAGATGTTGCTTGACGCCGCGTTACATCTGAGCAACTCTGCGATGGTTTCACTGTAGGTCATCATCAACGGCGTTTGACCCTTCTTGTTGGTCATTCTGCAGTTGGCACCGTACTCCAGGAGGATGTCGACGATCGCGTAGTAGCCCCACCGGGCTGCGAGATGTAGAGGCGTATCACCGTTATCATTTGCAATGTTCGCGTTGACCGGCATCTTCATGTGCTCCGTTAGATACAGCAATGCCTTCACGCAGTTCTCGTGACCACGATCTACTGCCAGGTGTAACGGAGTGTTTCCTCGAGAATCCGTTACTGCAGGATCCGCGTTCGCGTGCAGCATCAGCAGCAAAATGTTCTGGTGGCCTTTGATACAGGTGTAATGAAGAGCCGTCAGGCCATCCGAATCGACAGCGTTTATATCTGTGTCGCGATTTAGAAGAAAGTCCACGATTACAATCTGATCGTGCAACACGGCAACGTGCAACGGCGTCAGACCCTTATCATCCTTGGGACACGCGTTTAGGTCCCGCTGCTTCGTCCAGTTTCGCTCACAGGACGCACAGGTGCATAAAGGATGACAGAGCGTGATATCGTCGATCTCGTTGGATCCATTGTAAGTCAAACTTCTTTTCACCTCAGAGAGATTGCCACTCTTAATGCATGCGAATAAATAACCAATAGATGAACGTTCCGACTGACTCATTAATGTATTGTATTTGTCATCACTGTAGATTACTTCAGATTTGATGTGCATGATCGCGGCTTCCAGCGAAGTTATTAAGAAGCCAGTCTCATCTGTTTCATAAGCAGAGTTCGTGGAGAGACGAAATTGTCTCATGAAATATAATTGCGCCATCCAGTTCGACAGGCCAGCATTGACGATGAAGAATATGAGCACTGGCAGGAGATCATCTGATGTAACGGACGACAACGTTCCGCGCGATACGTAATTCACGGTTCTTCTGAGACATTCGATCTTGCCCAATACAGTTACGAAGGAGTCCAATCGTGACAATTCCATCTTTCCTCCATGAACACGAGACTGCAAGTCTGATCGTACTCGAAGATCGTTCAATTGGATCCCATCTAGGTTCCTAATGATCTTGTTCAGATTCGCGTCTTCTACAGTGGTACCGGCAGACAATGATTTTAGCAGTACATCTCTCAAAGCATACAGAATGTAAGTCTCGAGTGACACTCTGATATTCCAATGATATTGCTTATTACCCGAAGTCTTCTTTCTCAACATCGCGTTATCCAACAACATCTCGAGACAATCTGCATACAGTTCATGTACCAGATCCCTTTGTGTTTGTATCGATTTGCGCTCCAGATTCTTAACATAGAGGAAGTCTTTGATCTTGGTCTCGAGGTCATCGCGCAGCTGCCTGTCGAGCAGTTCCACTTGAAGAAAATTTACGGCTTCCTGGAGATTCGTAATTACGCTCACACAATTATCCGAAACATACATGCTGGCCTCCAGAGGCCGTTCAATGCACCTACAAAATAGAAATAACGTCAAGCCAATATCCGGAACTGTGACATTCAAGTGTTAGCTTACCATACACAATATTTACGAGAATCATCGCTGTAGAAGATCTCCTCAAAGAGCAGACGCGAGGAATATCGCTCTGCGTTGTCATGCTTGACATACAGGATTCGATCCTCGACCAAGACCTCCCTACCGCTCAGACTACTGAAGCTGGCGACAGAGAGATCTTTTCCAGGGACCAGGATGTGAGCATTGATCTCGTCCTCTTCTAATTTGCGGCTGATGAAGCTGCCGCTTCGTGGAACGCAGATGATCCAGCCTTCCTGAACAGCTCGCTGAAACGTTGCTTCATGTTCGTCCTGGAGTTCCCGCAGGAACCGATTTTCTGTCAGATCTTCATCGTATCCCGCATTCATGATCGGGAACCGATTACAGAGGTAAGTGTCATGTGGAGGACGATGAAATGAAACAGTTTGAGGGTCGCTGATGTTTTCGATGAGGCGCCTGTCATCGCGCCGCACAACGTGATTGACGTGAATTCAGGCTGCGAGTTATACAGCAACTATAGCGAGATTAAACTGTGTTGGAGTAAAGTTAGGTTAGGTTAGAGTACGCTGAGTTCCTACAGGTTCTTATTCTGTAATTCTTTATGACAATCGATCATTATATTGAGGTTGTCCTATACAGTATGAAATATTTCCAAATGTTTCATTGCACACAAGATTTAAAACATTTATTTCAAAAACTTTTCATGAATTCTTCCTAAAATATATTTATATTTATATTTTTTTAGAGTTTTTAAAACAAATTTTTTCTTACAATACATATATTTTTTTATATTATTTCTAAAGTAAATTTCTATATCTTTGTGAAATATTTTAATGTAATATTTTAAAACGTTTACAAAATATTTATTTCTGAAATATTTATTTATTGAAACATTTCAAACGGTAATTCATATAAATATTTCATAGGAATAATTTTTTTATCATATTATTTTTTAATATATTATAATGATATCAACTGTCGTTAAAATTTAGAATAGGACTCTGTAATTTTTACGCTTTATTATTATACGTATGGACTTGCAGCACACTCGAAAATATAACGTATCCTACAATTCGAGGCCGTATTACAGTTCAGAATTAAATTAGACCGCAAGAGATTTTTTTCGTACTTTTTACCTAGATACTTTCAAAAGATTTATACATAACAATTACGTCATTCACAATACTTACTTGTAAACATCGTTATCATTCCACAATAATTTCTTCGCGCATTAAAAATATTTAGTTTGAATTTAATATGATAATTAAATATAATTGCAAATTATTTTAAATTTAGTTGGATACATTTTGTTCTAATAATAGATATTACATACAGAAAAAAAGTAGAAAAATTAACGAGTGACATAATCCATTGTATGCCATTATTTCTTTAACATTACTTTTTTGCTAGTCAGCAAGACAAGATAAGATGTTTGATCGATATTATTTTAACTTTATCTAGAAATGCGTGTGTATTATACATACACATACATCTAATGCGTGTTTATACATATTAGATGTATTATGCTTTTGATTATTACATTAAATTACATAAATTATATTTACAATTAAATATAAAAATAGCACAATACATATTTAATATTATATATAATATTATATATAATATTACATATATAATTTCTATATTAAATTATGTGGAATTTAATTGAACACACATTTTTTTATTCTGTTAATGTAAATATTACGTACAGAAAAAAGTTGAATAGTGAGTATGACATAATCAATTGTATGTCATTACATTTTTTAATACTAATTTTTTTTTGCTAGTCAGCAAAAGCAAGATAAAACTTTTCAATGTATAACAAACGCATACATATTAATTACATATGAATATAAAAATTCCTGAAAAATTACGATCTAATTTGCGATAGACGATCACCGACGATTATTAGAGGCATCGCCGAGAATTCCTGCATAACATGAATACAAATCAGAGAATTAACGGTGTCCGTCTCCTTGTAGCTCTACCACCTCGGATCTCGCGAGAATTGCAATGCGTACTTTTTTTCTATATCTATTTATTGACATATAATATGTAATATACGATAACTCTAGATATACACACCACGCCAATTCTATTGCATTCCATTATTGTTGTAGTACGCATATTTGTACAGAATGCCGTGTCATTACGTATGTAGAGTGTGTTCAAAGTGTGTGCATAATTATCTCTCTTATCTCTTATTACTCCTATAATATGACTAAAAAAAAGCAAAAAAGATAAAAAAGTACAAGATATTTCTCGTTTTATTACGAAAGTATATTATCAAAAGATACGCTTTAAATCTTCCAAAGATTTCTCAAGAAGGATCTTCTTCCACGCTCGAGACGAAAATGGAAATATCCCAATGTAAAAATATGACTGCGGCTACCCAGGAAACCCTAGAATCTATCTGTTCTTTTCTCTTTTTCATCCTTCGCTTTTGTAACGAGGTTTATATATGTCAGTGCATTGACGTATATATTATCTATAGAACGTACACATTCGGATTTCGAGGTGAGGAAGAGGGAAAGGAGAGCACGGTGTATAAAATGCAAAATGAAGCAAATCAGGTCTTGACAGGTGCTTATGCAACAACGTCTTTTTGCCGAACCACATTTCCTGCGTCTACACGCAATCCTTGCAAGAATTGCATCCTCGCGAAATACCTTTGGTATAAAAATTCAGATGTTTCCGCAAGGATCGGAGCGTTACGAACTTGGTCGTTCAAGTGATCGTGTTTGGCGCGTAACTTGCGACCTGCACCGTCTTTCTCGTGGGAAAAACACCCACGCGCGATACCTAATTAAACGTTTACTTTGAAAGAACAAATACTGCCTGCGTGAGGCTCGTTAAAAATCAGGTAGCGCATAATTGCAGATGGGTCATTAATGGTGGCCGTTATCATTAACATGTACAATACATATAATAACATATATGCTTGCCCAAACCCATAATTTACCTAAATATAGCAAATGTCATGGGATTGAATACTAGGACTCAAGCGAGTGAGACATAAACTCTTTAAATTAGAGAACTTTTTATAAAAGACATATATAGTTTATATGTTTAATATTATATATATATATATATATATATTTATATTACATATATTATATAATTAAATATATATTACATATATATTATTTACATGTTTAATTATATAATTTATCGTATTATATATCTGTATAATTTACATAACGAGATAAGCAAGATGTTCACTTGTTTATGGAATTATGTCCAATTGGCTCTCTTATCACGTGTGCAACTTTAAAATCTATAACTCGCACTTAAGATAAAAGACAAGGAACATAGAGGAAGTCAAGTCCAAGAAAAAAATATAAAATATTTGATACGCTCGATTATGTCTGATTTTAATCGGCCGACGAGCAATTGGACGATTCTTTAAGTTTATCGGATACGATATTGTAATAGAAGCATTGATTATCTACACTTACATGGAACTACGAAAAATTCCATTCGACCTTCTTATAATATTGTCGTTACGTCGTTTATCATCTCTTACGATCCCGCTGTCGATTACGTAAAGTCGTAAATTAACTCGAGACGAGTCGCTTGAGGAAATTATTTCGACGACTCCAGACACATCCTGTGCATCGTAATCTTATCGTAAAACTACTCCTATTTGTGCTTGCATAGCTACGTTTTCTTTCTTGTATTTCTTTCTGTTGAAACAGTTTAATTAATTCTTAATTGACAGATTTAAGTATGCTTGGCGTTATCCAAAAAAATCTCGGTGAAAACTAAAATTTAGTTAAACTATAATATAAATCTGATGTCAACTGCGAGGACCGTATAATTTATCTATTGTTATACTTCGAATATTATCGAAAAAATTTTTCTCTCCTGTCATATTTCTAAAGTATTATTGATTTTACCTCCTGGTGCATAAAGTTTAAATTTCTGCTTTCTGAATCTTTACAGAGAAAATGTCGATACCTCTGATGTAAATTATAAAGCCATTAAAAGGGTGACAGAGAATAATTTTTGAATCTCAGCGTGATTCGTGAAACATGATACGGTTCATTGATGAATTAATAAGTTAACTTATTAATTCCTTAATTTTTTGTTATAACATGTCAATTGGCATGATATGACAAAAATTGAATTAGTGATTTATAAGCCGCGTCGCGTACTTATCTTCAAAATACTTTTGTAAGATACATTTACTCGTTAACCTTCCAAATAAGCACGGTAAGAAGTGCGCACGAAAGTAACCACAAAAAATGTAATTTTCCGCGATATATCAGTGACGTGCGCATTTTTGTAAATGATGTTAAACGACAAAGACCTCAAATAGTCATTGGTGAACATGCCAATTATTTCTCAATTTACATACCATTTTTTGCGTCATTTTTCGATAAGGCACACTTTTCATTTTAGCGAGAAACGGATGCAATTGCGAGGATTTGCACGTTTTCGTAATTAGCACATTTTTAGATTATAGTGTTTAAAATATGTAATAATATGTGTCAAATGGAATTTAAACACATACAATTAGGGAATAAAATCTACTGATGATGATTTTTTCATGAAAAACCATCGAGGCCCTGGGACTTTTTCTTGAAAAATATTTCATAATACGAAAATACTGTAATATACATATACACTGTTAAAGTCACAATGTTAAAATAAATTATGACTCAGTTTAAGTCAAGAAAATGTACTAAATTTGACTTAAACTAAATTTATTATCTACTAAATATATTATTTATGTTAATATGACTGTTGTTTATTTTGAAATTAATCACAGAAATGAATTAACATTTTAGTACATATGGAAGTTCAAAATAACAAAATGTTATTTTTTTAATTCAAAGAATTCGAGTTGCTGTTTTGAGCAATGTAACTTATTTTAGCAATGTATTCAGTAATTTTCGAAAAGTTTTTGTATATTTTTCGAAAATAAAGCCGCTGGCTGAAATCATTGTTATTTATTTATTCGATGAATATTTTATATCGCATTTTGCATGATTATATGAGTATACCTTTAAAACAGCATATTATGTACACTGCATATCTGTCTTACACATCCATCGTACATACACAGCGCATATATCGAGCGAAAAGTACCGATAGAAAGTTGACAGGTTGATATGCATTCCTTAAAGCACCTCATTTGTATTCTTGGCTGTTGGATGATAGCCGCGTCTAAATATGATTGCATGATTCGATAATAATTCGCCAATATAACCGATCGTTCTTTCGCAATAAGATATACTAAATCGAATTCTCTGAGATTGTCCGGAAAAAATCTGATTCGAGTAATAGAAATAGAAATACAGTTTTATTCAATTAAATTATATTTATACTGTACATTTACTTAAACCCTACGCAATATATACAATCGCTGTTGATCTATCGGCTTTAATTTACAATTTCCTCTTTCACGAAAAGGCTCGCTTGCAAAACATCGCCGGTACATTCAGCGTTCACGATACGGATTGACATGAACTCGAGATGCATTCCGGCACCACGCGACTTAATGTCACGCATAAATTATTATTCAAGAAGAGCGAGAGGTGTTAATGCACATCTTTTTCGGGCATCTTTCCCTCACGCGGTTGTGAGATCTTTGTTCAAAGTTGTGGCAAAACGACGAGCGGACCTTAAGAGTACGTTGAGAAAGGACAATGTCCTGTGATGATAACGAGATTATTAACAAATCCAATTGCTTCTCATTTGTTAAAATTACTCTCTGAGGCACCGCGAGGAAAAGCGTCGTGAATAATATTTTCATGCTTTTTCTGCCGACTTCGTCTTTTTGTCCTTCTTCTTGCGCGATCTTTCCTCTCGATCTCGTATGACGAAATCAGGGTCGTTCCAGTACTGAACTTCGCCGCTGGCATACATGACGAAGATTACGTTCGTTACGATGAAGACACCCAGGACGATCCAGAAGACGGTTCGCCATTGGGACATCGTTTGCTCGGACGCCAACACTCCGACGATGTACGGTGTGATGATCCCAGTGAGGGCACCCATCCCGTTCACCAATGCCATTAGAGTGCCAGAGTAATTGGGAGACAGGTCCAACCCGTTGACTTTCATTCCGGGGTAGAAGGTACCTTTAGACCAAAAGAAATATACATTGTTAAATTCATCATGTTAAATTATATCCAATTTGAGTTATTTTTAATCATTTCTCAGGTTAATTGTCACTGTTTCTATACAATATATCGTTAATTTAATTAAAACGATAGAGTTAAACAATTTAACTCAAGAAGTATATTTTTAATTCAAATTTAGTTTATTTAAGAGCATACATATTAATATAGACGTTATTTACGTTGGAACTAACCGCAGAAATGAATCGATTTACATTTTCATATTCATGCATTGGAAATTAAAAATAACAAAATATTATTTAACTCAAGGAATGAGTTATCATAGCTTCTTTGATATTTATATGAACAATGCATTTGAAAAAAAAACAAAGTTCATGCATTCGCGTTTATTGCAAATTGCAGTAATATTATCCGAGAAATGAAATTTATATATATATATGTATATACATATATACACGTACCCATTAGAGCCATGCCAATGGTGAACATAGCTACCACCAGCGTTCGGTCGCACGAAGAGTAAGAGGCGGCGATAATAAAGACTCCCGGGCCTATGGAGGCGATTGTGGTACCAAGTTTTCGCACGTTGGTGCGCGACATAATGCCCTTGATGATCATCCAGTCAGCTAGCCAGGATGACCCTATGCTACAGAACCACATGATGAGGTAGGGCAACGCAGAGACCAGACCGTTGCTCTTGATGGAGTAATTAAGCACGCTACTCATGTACTTGGGCAGATCGGTGACCAAGGTGAAGAAACCCCAGTCATGGCCGACCTGGGCGGCGATCAGGGCCCAGAGGGGCGCCGAGCGCAACATGTGCCGCCAAGGCACGGGTGGAGGTTTCGTATGAGTGTGCTCGTTCATACGTTCGTGTAGAAACTTGACCTCGCGTTCAGAGATGAACGGATGTTCGTACGGATTGCTGTAGCAAATTAGCACGAACACAACAAACCATAGCACGCCAATGCTGCCAAACACGTAGAAGACCGCGGGCCACTCGTACTGGTGCAGGATCAGGCCAGATACCAGGTTGGCGAACACTGTACCGAGTTGGGCGCCAGCGAATACCAGCGAACCGATTATCGATCTCTCCTCCGGCGGTGTCCACTGCGCCAGCAAGGCGTTCAACGCTGGGAATGTCGTGCCTTCACCGAGACCCATGAGAACCCGTAGCACGATCAGACCAACTGCACCGCGCCATTGGACCACTAACGGTGTCAACAAGGTGAATATTGCTGTCGAGAGAATGCCAAGACCGAGGGTGTATTTGCCGCCGAATCTCTCAGATAGTATTCCGCCCGGAATGTGCGTGAGGATGTAGCCCCAAAAGAAGGACGAGAGGATAAGGCCCTGAAGCAAGAAAAAAATATGAAAATAAAAGTACAAAAATAAATAAAGAAGAGTAAAACACAAGGATAAAAATAAAATAATAATAAGTAATTTAGGACAAAAACATATTTATATAACAGAACATCTTAAAACCGCCCAGAGGAAAACCTACATTTTTCCTTCTAAAGAATAAAATGTACTGTGTGGAAATAGACAGAGTATCTGTTGTATCTGTCGAGACTGATTGTATATTTAATTGTTTTTGGAAAATAATTAAAATTGTATCATATTCATGTGAGCAACTATACACATTGAGCAAAAACAATACAAAAATCGGCCGACACTTCGTCTATCGTGATGCTCTTATCTTAAAAGTAAAGAGATAAAACATAAAAGCACACTTTGATATCATTAATTTATGATTTTATATAAAATATCTTTTACCTGCGTACGTTCATCCCAATCGTATTTCCCTTCCATCGAATATGTTACAGATTCTTTCTCAGCAGTATCATATTTACAAGTATCTTGATCTGTATAATTGTGTTTGATCGAAACCGCCATTTCCGTAATAGTGATTGAAAGGCAGACTCTCATCGTATAGGCATTCAGGATCGCCAAAAACCCCATGAAAGCGAATATCCATCGTTGCGACAATCGGCCGCCTGCAATTTTTATAAATTCTACGTCATTGATATCCATTTCTATTAACTGTAAATTTACTTTCTTTTTATCTTTTTCTTTTTATCGTTTTCCTAATAAGGGAACCATTGGAGCCATCCCTTACCGATTTTGATATGTTGACCGGCTTTGGATATGTTGTAGAATATAAAAAAATATTAGAAATGCGACAACAAGATATAAAAGGCTAATAAGAATCAGAAAACATAAAAAATCTCTATTATTCATTTAACATAAGTATAATTGAAAATAGATATAACAAATAAAAACTGCAGAAAATAGTTCTTTTGTTATCTATTTTTAATTATGTTAACACTTATGTTAAACGAATAATGGAGATTTTTTATGTTTTCTGACTCTTATTAGCTTTTTATATCTCGTTGTCGTATTTTGAACATTAAGCTTAATGTCCAAAATACTAAGAGTCAGAAAACATAAAAAAATCCCCCATTATTCGTTTAACATAAGTATAATTGAAAATAGATATAACAAACAAGAACTGCAGAAAATAAAAAAATTAAAACGCTACAGAATACAATATTAAGTACAAAATGGATTTATGAAATTTTATTCATAGTTTAGAGGTTATTGCTACATGATAACTATAATGATATTGTATAAATTTAAAGAACGAAAAAAGTGCGCATTTTACAGCCAGCGTAACATTAGAATAAAAAACTTAAAGCTCTTATTAGCCTTTTATATCTCGTTGTCGTATTTTAAATATTAATAGTCCTGTTATTTTAAGTTTTTTATTCAAAAAACATTAGACCCATATTTTTTTATCAGCATATCTTAAAATTTAGGAGGTGAAACTTTCTCGAAAAATATAAATTTTTAGCAAATATCTTTGATATTAAAAAAAAGTGAATATACTATTATATAAAGTTATAAAGCACAAAATACTATAAAACTTTTGTATTAAACATTTTTTTATATATCGCATAGTTTCGAAGATATTTAAAAAACCGATAAAATCCATATTTTTCGAGGGGATGTTTCACCGCCTAAATCTTGAGATACGTTGATAAAAAAATATGGGTCTAATATTTTTTTATAAAATATATTCTCTATCTCTACAATATATTCAAAGCCCATCAAAATCGGTGAAGGACGGCTCTGACGGTTCTCTTGTAAAACTTAGAAAATGATAAATAGGAAAATTGAACCGAAATTAAAGTTAAGTAATCTTTACTTTGGTAGAAATAAACATAATTTCGTCATTCCGAAAATTTAAGCGACTAATTTTATTATGTGATTAAGGCAAGCTAATCACGTACAAAATTACGTTGCTCATAATTTTAAACGTGCAGTTTTTATTGCACAAGAGTCTGTAGAGATAATGAAAAATATCACATTACTGTTAAAAGTTACTTAAAATTTTTTTAAATAAAAATTTCTATATTATTTGTTTTAATATTGTTTACAAATATAATTAGGATTCAATGCAGGATTGTGTTTAAGGATGCATCCAGTTATCGTTCTTGTTCATAAGGATAAAACGATACCTGAGTGCATCCGAGTGACGATTCTAAACGCAACCCGCCAACTCGTGTCGAGGAGATCTTAAAGGTATTATGAGTTAATCTATTCGCTCATACAGAAGTTATTTACGCATTTTCCACGATAATTTATGCTCTTTAATGGACTTAGACCATTCTCGCCTTACCATGTACTTATCTTGACTTTGTTATCCGATTAGTTGTCGTTTGTTTCACCGTTATCACCGGTATGTCTTTTTCTTTTACAATTTTTAGAAATAAATTGCTCGCTCAAAATTTTTACAGAACGTCATTTTACTAAGGAACCAAAAATTAAAACGACGATTTTTCTTTTACGAAATTTGACTGTTTATTATGAATACAAAGCAAAGTTATGTTGATTTTTTGTTGACCGTGTATTCCTTAAGGTTTTGCTATTCTACTAATCGTTCAGTTAGTGATTCTGGTAAAACGTTGCGATAATGATAACTTACAAACGAGATTTCAAGAAATATATCTCGATTTTAATAAAAAAAAATATTGGTTTTGTATCGTTTTTTAATTTAATATTATGCTGATAAAGATAATATATTTTGCGAAAGAAGCGTGATTTTTCTGATATGGACAATGCGAGGGCGATGGGACTTCTTTATAAACGACAATCGTCGTTCAACCTTCGCGCAGTAGTTTTCTATCGATTTGGTGAATGAACCTTCGGCCACGCGTTTTCTATTCCGCGGCTGTCCGCTCGCGTGCGATCACGTACTCACGCACGCACGTGTCTCGACAATGCAATGACATACGCATCTCATTGAGGAAGTATGTCCCGTGTTCTCGGTGAATGTACGCTGCGACTCGATTGTGTCGCAACACAGGAGAACGGAAGCGTTTTCCGGCCAACGTTTCAGCCTTCCGTCTCTTCGAGAATTTCACAAGGATTACAATAAAGCGACGTCTTTTTTTCTGAATAGAATATGAAATCCAGATGATATCAAATAGCAGACAATATAAAAAAAGATTATAAGAATATTATTGATCGATATACTTTTTATGATGATTTTATGGTAAATTTTTGAAAAGGATTTTTAAGTTATTTTTTAATTAAAAAATTACTTAAAAATTGTCAAAGATATATCGAATATCATCATGATTAATTTTTTTTTAATGATGATTACTTGATGTCACTTTGATCTTGTTATTTGATCTTGTGTTTGACTTTGGTTCTACCTGGGTTATGCTTAGTATCAGACTAAAGATTGAAAATGAGATTGATCAGATTCAATCTCAATCTCAATCTCAATTTCTATTCTGATACGAAAAAATCCGCGAGAGTCCCAAGCACAAAAACAAGTTACGATAACATCAAAATGACATTAAAATAAATCATTACTGATTGAAAGGTAATTTTCAGTAATCATTTTGACATCATTTTATCATGATGACTTGTATTCTGCTTGGGAATTCCGATTTTGTGACCAAATCCTATCTTCCTCGCTTGACCTTTGCCTATCATAGTGATGGCAGCTGGACGATCATCACTCATCCAGCTGATAGTTATTTTTTCCTCGTACGCGGAACTTTCCTCGTCGGTGCCTTCGAAGGCACATCATCCGGGATACACGCATCGCGAAACGGGTAAAAATTCTATCTGGATCCCACGTTATTTATATAAAGAATGATTGACGTGATAGAATGCTTTTTTTTCGAGATAGAAGTGAGATCGCGGGACTACTTGTATTTCTAACAAATTGCGTATATCATTTGCAATGTACGTCTCAAGAAAATACGGACCATTATATTATTGAAAACGCTAATGATAAGTCATTATTTAATAATAAGGTTTAAGTTATAAGAAATTGATCGTTCATTCTTCGATTATTCTTCGACATTCAATTGTGACTAGTCAGTTTTTTATGACTTAAGACAAAGCTGTATACATACTCCGTTCTTATTTTAAGACTGGCTTAAGTAATGTCTTAAGATGCTAATAATATCTTAAGACTGTACTTAAGACAATCTCAAATATAAGAATCGACGTCTCATATTTAAACTCTTATATTTAAATCCGTCTTAAGATATCATATGTCAATCACACACATATTATAATCTTAAGATATTACTTAAGACCATCTTAAAATAAGAATCTACTATAAATATCTGCCTCAAAGCTTAATAATAGTTTATTGTAGAAAGTTTCTGATACTTTGTTGAAGCTCCAAAATCGATTAAAAACGAAGCCTCGTTATCTGTAAGTACATCTCTTCACACATTACTTTTCGAATATTCCCTTCGTTTATCTATTTCGCGCTTATCTCCACATTACCATGCAATGTTTGATCAGTCAACCATATCCTTTCAATTATATTATTGTTGATAATCTCTTGCTGTAAGCGAAGTAATCCTTGCGATAATATCGTACATAAATTTATAATTTGTGGTCGGAAACATTTTTTTATAAAAATAGCAAGACTGTGCAACGCAAAACTAAGTGAAGGATAACGAAAAGAACTCGGAAAAGCTATTCGCTTATAATTATCAAATAAGTGAAGTATTCGAGATTGGCGCCGTATTCCGTTTGTTATCTGATTACTCCTACTGATCGAATCTCCTGAACTTTCCTCGTAATAGAATGCACAGGGAAAACCACACGAGTGTCTCTCGCCTTGGGAAAAGCGGTCGGCGGAAATATACCGCGTCTCGCGAAAATCTCGTCATCACAGAAAACGACGTATATCTTGCGAAAATCGTCAAACTGTCGGTTTGATCGATAGTTATAAGTTATTACACGGAACGGGGGGAGGCTTACTTTCGCGGAAGACGGTGACCCAGTAGCCTCTCTCGATGGTAATCGGGAACAGGAAAAATTCCTGAAGTCGGGGAAGTTTGCCTTCACCCGAAGGCGGAAAAGAAAGGAAAAGGGAGAAAAAAGGAGTGGTGCATTCGCGCACTCATTCGATCCGTAATCAGGAGATCATTGCGACACATTCGAGATAGTGAACCTTTGTTTACTTCGCATTACAAAAAACAAAATTAGACGCATTCACCGATCATTGATATTAAACATTACTTATATAATTGGCTTTGTGCCATACACACAACACACGTTCTCGATTGAGCAATTGTAGCGCAATCTGGTCATCGCGCTATCATTCTCTCAGATACGTGCGTACCTCGAATCGTAACACTTCCTCTTCCCTCCCCCCCTTTTTTTCATCGATATCCCGTTGTTTCTTTTTCGTTATTCCTGCCACGTTCACTCATGCACGTGTGTGAAAGGGGAGAAACTCGATCGAGTGAGCCCGATATAGACAGAGCACACCCAAGCAGAACAAGTCACGATAACGTCAAAATGACATTAAAATGAATCGGAAACGATTGAAAAATTACTTTTAATGATCATTCTGAAGTCACTTTGACATCATTTTGACATTATAATGACTTATTGTTCTGTTTAGTAGCGAGAAGGTCCTTATCTTAGGTCTGTTTTCTGGCTGAACTAGTGT